TACCAAGAATTCATCAGCAACAATTGTTACCAAAAGACAACTTGAGAAAGTGGCTTTCAAAAGCTGATGCATGAAGCCAATCACTCTGGCTATAGAACATATGCTAGCATTTATGAATCTGCAGGTGCCTGTGTTTTTAACAGAGAATTTATTTGCAACAGCAAAACGGCGAAGGTTGGCAATAACCTCGACTAAGATGATCAGTAATTGGCTTAACTTCGTAAGTCTGTTTCTCTTCAGCTTGAAGACCTTCAAAGCATAACTGAAAGTGAAGAACAGAGTGCCCGACAAATGGAACCAGACATCCGCATGTTGGACAAGTACAAGACAGAGCTGAAGGAAATGGACAGGAATATATCTTTGCTGCAGTCCAAGCTACATGGAGTTGGTTAGTCCTGGTTATATAATGCACTATGCCTAATGCGGGGGTTTTATTAACATTTTCAGCAGGAAGGCAATTGGTTTTCACAGTATCAGAAAACCTTTCCTCTAGATGGTCAAACCAGGCAGGCAAAATCACAGCCGTTCCGCGGCCCTCATTGAAACTCGACTATGATCACTGTTCCAATTACTGTAGTGTAATGTGTTCTTTACATCTATCGATTTTCACCTTATTCATTACCAAGGTGACAAGTCACATAGTTGATAACCCGATCAGTTCAGGAAATGCGTTTCAAAGCTGTCAACTGGGATTCCATCGTTTTCAATGACTTTCTCTTTCACAAGAGAACGCCTTCTCTTTAGCAGCGTAGTTTTTAACCACATGTTAACTACATTTCTCTGTAGCTCCTGGTCGCACCATGCAGTCGGTGTCTAACGAAATCGCGGACAGACAAGATCGATCGTAAGTGTCAATACGAACAACTTGCAACGAACTCGTTCCCCATCCTTCTCAAACTCATTAATAATTCATCAAGATAAAACAAAGAAAATCACAAACGTGAAGGAGATTTGGATTCCCGGTCTTAAGTAGCATAGATTTTGACGATTTTACTTCTCCGTTTACTTCTTAGTTTTTGTTTCGATTGAGAAGATATATCAAACACTCGAGACAGTGTTTCATCGGCTATCCAAACACCTCGAATTTCGTCAAAAATACTCCGCTGCGCGTCGTATTTTCAAGTCTCTTCTCGGTGTTTGGATATCCCGATGAAACACTGTCTCTCGTGTTTGATATATTGCTTGAACGATGGGCACTGGGAACAGGGTTGGCGCTTGAGTCTTCTCCCCTTGCTACCAATATCTGAGTTTTTCTTGATTTCATGGTTTTATGTTTTATGTTGTAACCCCAAAGTGTGAAGACATGATTGATCATCGCAAGTATACACACAACTTTTAAAAGCAGTTGTGAAATTAAAGCCTGAACGGGCTTCGAACCCATGACCTCTGCGATACCGGTGCAGTGCTCTACCAACTGAGCTATCAAGCCAACTGGGAGGTGATCACATTGTGAGTTCGTAATACACCCGTAGATGTTGAAGAATGCAAATGAATATATGAAAGATCATATATCTGAACTGCGGAGAAAGATATGAAGACATGATTGATCATCGCAGTTATACACACAACTTAAGCGACTTAATAACTGCGATGATCAATCATGTCTTCATATCTTTCTCCGCAGTTCAAATATATGATCTTTCATATATCCATTTGCATAACCCCAAAGTGTCATCACATGGTTCTAGTGAGAGGCCTAGTATTGTTTCTAGCCGTTAATTAGAGCTATCGCGCTAACTTCATTTGAATTCAAACCAAATTAGTTTTCGTTGTGAAGTCAACTCTCTCGCGCATGAGTTTCTTCATCTTTTTACTTTGACTTTTAACCGTCAGGGACACTCTTAACAACAACGTTGACAGAAAAAGATCACAGCTGAGCCAACTACAACGGCAAATTAGTGAGCTGGAAAGTAACGTACATGATCTCAAGTCACAGAAGGTAAAATGATTCGCAAAGAATCCTTCGTAGGAAAAAAAAAGATGGCGGCTGTACATTTTACCGCAATACCATGGGAACCTAACACAGCCCATTAGGCACAAGGAAATCCATATTTTTACACTGTTTGTCCCTCTACTGACGACATTGTGTATACAGGATTTGAAGATTATAATATAGAACATTTCTCTACGTTTTTTATGAGCCTTGTTAAGGCTAAGAATTATACGCTAAGAATTATGGGTACATGTACAAGTCGCCATGTTTATTTTTTTCCTGCAGAGGATTCTGGTTGTCAATTTGATATTTAGTAATCCAATCTGATTTACTTGCTGTTTAATTTTGAATTCTTCTAGCTACGCCTAAAAGCTCAGTTACAGACGAGAACACACTTAGAGCAACAGAAAGCTGAACTCACCGCAAACAACAGTGCCTTTACAAGAGAGATTAAGGTTAGTCACAGATCTCAAAAATAGGTCCGCGTTGCGTGCATGTATGTACTGAAACTCTAACACATGCATGAATGCATGAAAGACAATCAAAAGGATAGCAAGTTATTGTGGACAGTGGTGGTCAGTGATAAGAGAACATAAACTCCTTCCTTTCTCCTAGCCCAGTAAAGTGGTTGCATTGTTGAAAGAAGAAGTCGTTACCAGTAGTGTTTGAACTGTGGCTGTAATTTTTATCTTTTCGAAATTTACTCGAGCCGAGACAAGTTCAATGAGCTATTGATTTCTTCATATACTTTTGATTCCGTTACAGGAAGCAGAGACTGAACTAACTCCTATTGCTGTGAGTAGAGATTTTTAACCCGTTTACCGTTTGTGCAGCTTTTGGTGTAGACATTCTGTCCTCATTTGTTCCTTTATGCTAGAAATTTTAATGGCAAAAATAGAAGGGTCTGGGTGAATGACTGGTAACTAAGGCCTCGTAGTAAGTTCCATGTGTAATTAACGCAAATCCCAGATGAAAGGTTAACATTTTTTCTCCTTTGCTTACCGTTTCACTTGTCTGGCGACGGAAAGCACCAGTTTCCCTAGAAAATATTTTTTGAAGGTGATTTTGCTTTTTTTCGGTGCATGGAACTTTTCACCTGGTTGACGCGAAAACAGTGTTTTAGTCCCAAAGTTTTCTACGTCGTGCTAAAGGAGGTACCTCATTTACCGCGCGGCCAAAACGGTCACATTACAACCCTGCAAGGTAAATAGGTGTAGCAACTAGAAATGCTACGGCCATCATGACCTACAGTAGAGTTGAGAAAAGAGGTAGACATGGACACGGACATTGCTTTTTACCACATAAAGACATTTGATCCTGTGTGAAAGCTGCTATACACTTGCATATCCTGGAACATGTCAACAGTTTAACTAGCTTCATGACGTTCCTCGTCTTTCAGGCAAGACTTGAAGAGCTCCAGGCTGAAAAACAGGGCGTTGTCAGTCAGAAGGAAGCTGCGGACGATGGGAATCGCAAGTTGGTTAGTGCAGATTTTTTTGTTTGTTTAATAGGTAACACTTATTCACCGAAGTGGAGGTAAATATCCACCGCTTTCACCGAGACTGATTTGAATCTGCCACACAAGCTGAATAATTAGCGAACCTACAAATGACTTTATTTCTTTCTGATAATAAACCGACGAACTGTCGGAAATTTCGAAATCTCTGCTCGGAGGTTCATATAGTACGCTGCTTATCGCCTCCAAGTTAACCAATTTAAAACGCGTGGAAAGCACTATTCTATGGCCTTTACGATATCACCTCCATATGATAGGTTTTCACATGACGTCTTGGCGGACAAGTGAGCTGTTCTCAAACAATGGGATTTCCCAATGTAAAAATGTGCTATTATCATGGAACACAATATGGCCGGCGTGAACTTAAATTGATAGATTAGTTATTTCGTTTTACGGTAGAGAAAAGGGAAGACCACTTTTTGCGGTCGCTCCTCCATGGTCTTTCTTCTGTGTGATCAAAATTTAGGTTTAGATACATATTGCCCACTTGGGACAAGAGCGAAACCTCTCCAACCTTATCTATCTCTACACTTTTCAAAGGGGCTCTACCTGTACTGCTATTGAAATTCAAAACATTTTTATATCAGTTATTTTATTGTTTTCACAGCTTAACGAAATAAGGACGAGCGGAGACAAAGTGCATGAAAAAACCGCTGACATAAGACGGTAAGTCGAGTGTGCAACATCTTCATTAAACGAAATTTGCGTATTGAGGATAATGTCTTCATGACTCATCAAGTTCCCAGAAATACCGTCAAGAGACGACATTTACTAAAGAGAATGAATGTTTCAGGATGCTGTGAAACAAGCTATTTAACTCCAAACTCCAAAGAGAGTCGAAATAAGACCTTCCCAGCTGCGTTCAGACACTCAGTGCTACCCTCTATCTGTAGTTTTATTTACCTTGTGCAAGTTTAGCGTGTGAACGCTACAAGACAAGTTCGAACTTAGGAAATGCGTCTGGTTATTGGACGTGACAAGGGTTGCGTCTTGTGGCCGACACAATAAGTGAACGCCCGCCTTTTAGAACTCGACCGAAGAGCTATCTCGACATGGGACACGTGCTTAGAAATATGACAAGAAATTATCCACACATTGTCATTCCTGTAACTCCTTCAGAGAAACCGGCTAACGTACTACACATCCACTATTTACACAGCTAACAGACAGATATGTTGCGAATTTAAAGTCTAGTTTTATAGTTTAGGTGTGAACAAGCATTTTTTTTCTCCCAAAACGTCAATTTACGGAGTGTTACGTCTTAGACTGTTTACAGTTCTGTTATTCTGTGGCTCGTTGTCCTGGTGAAATGTTCCCAGCTGCATCGAGGGTGCGTCCTCTACTAGACTACTTCTCTCTGGCCCTGTTTTTATGACAATTACAAAGATCAGCAACACAAAACTAAACTCATAGCTTCTTAAAAGGAATGAAACACCAAACCTGATCCAGATTGAGTTCTGGTTGAATTCTAAACCTCTTATAGCACCAAAATCACCAGCAGACACACACATAACCAGCGTTAAAGAAATTGCGGTAACCACAGATAAGTAAAGGACAGTAGCACAATATTCTTGAGTCTTTTTTGTCTGCGAGAATTATTCGTCTGTCGCGAAGATCTCGAGTTACGCGAAATTCTAAGACCGGCCACCGCGCATCCGACAGAAATCAATGTCCCCCGAATATACAGGGTCAGATTTGAAATAAAACGCCAGAATTCCCTGTCTGCGAATACAACCAGAAAGTTAGACGTAGCCAGGATTGTCGTGAAGGCAGTTGTAATGGAGAGCAGTACCCAGACGTTTTGAAGGCGATGAGACGCAAGTGTACTCTTGGTTGTCTCGAGTAGAATTAACAGCAGTATGCTGTAGGCGGACAAATTAAACGCTAGTGAAAAGCTATAGAGCATCACTGCAGTACCAGGAAGGGGAATTCATACAGAGGCTTTAACTGCCAACTGCTAGGCATCACCCTCGTCAGCCGTTGACCAGGAACTNTTAACAAAATGTGTGCCATTTTTGCTGAGAATATTTTGCCAAAAAGTCTGAGCCTTAATCAACAAGAAGTCTCATCTTACTTTTGGTCAGTGGTATAAAGTGTGTTCAGTTTGCCGCACTTTTGACTCTGCAACACGCCATGAACGTGACAGTTCAGCTTCAAATTTGCCTTTTGTAGCCGTAAACGTTTTTGAAACCTCCCCTGGCTTAAGCTGTACTATGACAATGAGCTGCGTGTCAAGAGTTCGATGCTTGGCTCTGAGCAAAGGCTGTGGGTAGGAAGTTCCTTGAGAAACCTAATGAAGACTCATTAGGATGTTGGGGATGTCTGTCGTTTGATTCTCTCTCGTGAACTATGATTGATCAGTGGTTTTCCAAGCCAACTGTCACCCAGTCGGAGCAATCGTAGCTCCCGTTCATTTCTTACACGATCCTAGACGCCCTTGTGGTTGAAGTTAGTACGCATTCTCCCCGAAGTTTCTATATTGGCGTAGAGGATTCTTGAAGTAACGTTTCTCTTGTTTTTAAGGTACGTGAATCAAGGAGGCAACACAGCTTTACAAGACAATGAATCTCGCTTAAAAGAACTGAAGGAACGAGCAGAGAAACTGAACATGAATAAAGAAGCTGTTTCCAGTGAAATTGATAAATTGAAGAATGATATCTCTAAACAGCAGGTTAGTCTTTATTACATTCTTTGCTGAGTAATGCCCAGGACAACAACAGGAGTCCCACTACCGAACAGTTATTAAATATTAGGAGGTGTTAATCCAAGCAGAGAACCCTGTAAATAAACTAGAAAGGTACAAGGATGTTACGATTGAGGAAGGCGACTGATACGGACTCACCGTTAAGTTCCCCGTTCTATTAAGCTACCTCTCCCCCTCCCCCCCCCTTCCTCTCTACTTTTTGATGATCAGCCAAGTCGAGTTACAAATAGGACAACAAGAAAACATTTACCTCAAGATTTTGGAAGGGACGTGCAATTTTACAGACAAGCATTAAACTTTCTCCTATTTCTATGTTTTGATATATTGTCCAGCTGATTTACGTTACGAAGTAGGACACCCTTTCTTAGAAGTCCACCTTAAACAGTCGTGAAAATTAATAGGCCTTCAGAATTTAATACAAATGTAGAACTGTTCGGTTAGTTAGAAGTGACCAAATGGACCAATTTCGATATATTAAAATTCAGCCTAACACAATAGACCTCAGAACGAGGCTCTGGGGAATAAACCCCACAAACTCTGTATTTATTCCGCAGAGCCTCGCACTGAGGTCTATTGTTTTAGGCTGATTTTTAATATATATCGAAATTGGTATATTCTCCCAAAGAGAAGAAAGAAATTGTATTATAAAGAGTAAGGAGATTTGTGGTGCTGATCTTAATAGATACGCGCTCGTGAACTAGAGGACAACATACAGCTAAAGAGTACTCAAGAAGAAATCNAATAAACCCCACAAACTCTGTAGTTATTCCCCAGAGCCTCGTACTGAGGTCTATTGTTTTAGGCTGAAATTTAATATATCGAAATTGGTATATTCTCCCAAAGAGAAGAAAGAAATTGTATTATAAAGAGTAAGGAGATTTTTGGTGCTGATCTTGATAGATACGCGCTCGTGAACTAGAGGACAACATACAACTAAGGAGTACTCAAGAAGAAATCCAAAATATTGACAAGAAGATAGCAGATGTCAACAGGGAACTGCGCAAGTTTGGCGACAACGATAACCTTATTAGGTAAGGGAACTGGCAGGCTTGGGTTGTACTAGAAATTGAAGCAACTACCACTAATACTCCTCTTTATGAAAAACAACTTTACATTTCATTGTTTGAGATTGGGTGTGGACAAAAAAACAAGGAACAAGAACGAATCCGTTCTTAGGTTCAGACGAGAGAACGTCTTGCAGGTACTGTGACTCAGAACTCCTGTAATTATATCTGACAATTATGAAATGGCAAGTAACTACGCTTGAAAAAAGGCTATTAAAATTATGTTGTAAAATAATTTTCCGAGGTAGGGACATATTTGATATCATTTAAAGACGACTCCTGGTGGAACGGTTATGATTAAAATATCACCATGAATAGGTTATTTGAAAACATCTTTTCAGTTGTTTCCGTTTTCATTTCAGCGAGAGACAGGAATTGCAACAACAATCTGACGAAATAAGGAGAGAGGTTAGCTATGAGTTGTTTTTGCTGTCTCCTCTATTATATTGGGGATATTAATTTCAGTGCTGATCCTATTAGCTGTTTATACCGTTGCTGTCGTCTAACTNAATATATCGAAATTGGTATATTCTCCCAAAGAGAAGAAAGAAATTGTAAAGAGTAAGGAGATTTTTGGTGCTGATCTTGATAGATACGCGCTCGTGAACTAGAGGACAACATACAGCTAAGGAATACTCAAGAAGAAATCCAAAATATTGACAAGAAGATAGCAGAGGTCAACAGGAAACTGCGCAAGTTTGGCGACAGCGATAACCTTATTAGGTAAGGGAACTAGCAGGCTTGGATTGTACTAGTAATTGAAGCAACTACCACTAATACTCCTCCTTACGAAAAACAACTTTACATTTCATTGTTTGAGATTGGATGTGGATAAAAAAAACAAGGAACAAGAACGAATCCGTTCTTAGGTTCAGACGAGAGAACGTCTTACAGGTACTGTGACTCACAACTCCTGTAATCATATCTGACAATTATGAAATGGCACGTAACTACGCTTGAAAAAGGCTAGTTAAAATTGTGTTGTAAAATAATTTTCCTTGGTATGGATATATTTGATATCACTTAAAGACGACTCCTGGTAGAACAGTTATGATTAAAATATAACCATGAATAGGTTATTTGAAAACATCTTTTCAGTTGTTCCCGTTTTTATTTCAGCGAGAGACAGGAATTGCAACAACAATCTGACGAAATAAGGAAAGAGGTAAGCTATGAGCTGTTTTTGCTGTCTCCTCTATTATATTGCGGATACTAATTTCAGTATTGATCCTATTAGCTGTTAATACTGTTGCTGTCGTCTAACTTTCTGTGTTCTGATGTCCACATAATCGGCTAAAACTAAAACAGCTGCATCCCCCCGCACACCTGTACCCAGACTCCCAGCCGTGTGTGAGAAAAACGTTTTCCGCTTTCGTTCCTCGGCCAATGGAAAACCACACTTCTATGGCCTTTACGGTATCACCTCCAGATGAAAGGTTTTCACATGACGTCTTAGCGGACAAGTGAGCTGTTCTCAAACAATGGAATTTTCCAATGTAAAAAATGTGCTATTATCATGGAACACAATATGGCCGGCGTGAACTTAAATTGATAAATTAGTTATTATGTTTTACGGTGGAAAAAAGGGAAGACCACTTTTTGCGGTCGCTCCTCCATGGCCTTTCTTCTGTGTGATCAAAATTTAGGTTCTTTTTTTTTGTAAATGTTACAGGACATCAGTCAACTTCCGGTGATGCTGTGTTGCTCTTGTTTGTTTGTTTCTTTAAATACATATTGCCCACTTGGGACAAGAGCGAAACCTCTCCAACCTTATCTATCTCTACGCTTTTCTAAGGGGCTCTACCTGTACTGTTATTGAAATTCAAAACATTTTTATATCAGTTATTTTATTGTTTTCACAGCTTAACGAAATAAGGACGAGTGGAGACAAAGTGCATGAAAAAACCGCTGAAATAAGACGGTAAGTCAAGTGTGCAACACCTTTATTAAACGAAATTTGCGTATTAAGGGTAATGTCTTCATGACTCATCAAGTTACCAGAAATACCGTCAAGAGACGACAGTTACTAAAGACAATGAATGTTTCAGGATGCTGTGACACAAGCTACTTAACCCCAAACTCCAAGGAGAGTCGAAATAAGACCTTCCCAGCCGCGTTCAGACACTCAGTGCTACACACTGTAGTTTTATTTACCTTTTACAAGTTTAGGGTGTGAACGCTATAAGACAAGTTCGAACTTATGAAGTGTGTCTGGTTATTGAACGTGACAAGGGTTGCGTCTTGGGGCCGACACAACAAGTTAACGTCCTGTTTAGAACTCGACCGAAGAGCTATCTTGACATGGGACGGGTGCTTATAAATATGACAAGAAATTATCCACACATTGTCATTCTTGTAACTCGTTCAGAGAAACCGGCTAACGTATAACACATTCACTATTTACACAGCTAACAGACAGATATGTTGCGAAGTTAAAGTCTAGTTTTATAGTTTAGGTGTGAACAAGCATTTTTTTTTCTCTCCCAAAACGTCAATTTTCGGAGTGTTACGCCTTAGACTGTTCGTTTTCAGTTCGGCTATTCTGTTTCTCGCTGTACCGGTGAAATGTTCCCAGCTGCATCGAGGGTGCGTCGTCTACTAGACTACTTCTCTCTGGCCTTGTTTTTATGACAATTACAAAGATCAGCAACACAAAACTAAACTCATAGCTTCTTAGAAGGAATGAAACACCAAACCTGATCCAGATGGAGTTCTTGTTGAATTCTAAACCTCTTATAGCACCGAAATCACCAGCAGACACACACATAACCAGCATTAAAGAAATTGCAGTAACCACAGATGAAGTAAAGGCCAGTAGCACAATATTCTTGAGTCTTTTTTGTCTGCGAGAATTATCCGTCTGTCGCGAAGATCTCAAGTTACGCGAAATTCTAAAACCGGCCACCGCGTATCCGACAGAAATCAATGTCCCCCAAATATACAGGGTCAGATCTGAAATAAAACGCCAGAATTTCCTGCCTGCGAATACAACCAGAAAGTTAAACGTAGCTAGGATTATCGTGAAGGCAGCTGTAATCGAGAGCAGTACCCAGACGTTTTGAAGTCGAGGAGACGCAAGTGTAATCTTGGTTGTCTCGAGTAGAATTAACAGCAGTATGCTATAGGCGGACAAGTTAAACGCTAGTGAAAAGCTATAGAGCATCACGGCAGTACCATAACGTGTCTTGCTAATCTCGTGTAACAAGAAAGGGGACCATAAGAAAACGACCGTTTTAAGAACAGCGGCGATAAAGAGTTGCGCTGTCGTAAATCGCCAATGAATGCTTTTACTTGAAGTCCTTGCTCTTTGGCGGACAAGGAGAAGTAACACGTCTAGGATGCTAAAAACTAAATATAATAAAAGCTAGATTGAATATTGTTGTTGTACTAAGAAATATCCTTTCTCGAGATGTATGGATTGTTATTACCTGTATTAAGTCGTTTGTGTTCAATTGTTCTTATTTATTGTTCTCAGTTAACAGGTATTTGAAATTGATTTTTGTTTTTGGTAGCACTTTTTATTCACCGATAAGTCAAACTGAGTGCCTTTTACGAACGGAGAAGCTTTTACTGGAGGAAAAATGGTGTAAATCCCCCCAAACAAACCATTGGCTACACTACCCAACTTACTGGGTAGAAAATTTGCTGTGAACCTTTTTTTGTGAAACTAGTGAAATCGGCCATTCGGTTTTAACGAAACAACAGCAACAACAAAAAATCAATTTAGCTTACTGAAAGGTAGGCTTAGGACTTTTATTTGCATTGTGGAATTAAATTTACTTTCGAATCAAACAACCCACCACAAATATGGGAGAGTAATTTTTTTTATTTCTTTTCAAGTGTTTTAATTAGATATTAAAAACCAGGTGTTTTCAAATTCTTTATCAACACCCATACCTCTTCACCTCGGAGTCGGACGATAGAAATTTGCTTTTTAATTAGTTTGTACAACAAATAGGACCTTTTATTACTGAGGATGTTAGGTTTTCAATTGCTAATTCAATAACCATGAAAAGAAGGTCAATGAATATTTAAACGTTATATTAATTAGAAGGCCACATGGGCGTTTGTGGTTTAACTAAGTATGCCAGGTTTTATTTACTTAAATGTCTTGTAATGGAACAATTGAAGGACTCGGGAACGACTTTTGTAAAAGTTTGCAAGAACGAATTTTTGTTTTCGCTCCTATGGCGTAGGGACAAAGTAATAGACGTGTGAAGAAAGCCGTGATCCACCGCTGGCATTAATGTAAAGTCTTGAAAATTAGTATCATTTTGTTATTTTTCTATAATCTACGTTGTGTTTCCAATATGTATTGGTCGAATGGATACGATTTAACTTCTTCAGTATAAAAGAATAGTAAGACAATTATTGTATGCCAACAGGTTGTGGAGTCAATAAAGACGATTATATGACGAGATTTAACTGAGTTTATTAAAACCGAGGCAACAAAACAACCCTGATTAAGTGCTCTATTGCTTAAATATATCTAAGAATCTTTCATTGCAAGAGCCTCGAGGCCGAGAAAGACCAAAACTTGACCAGGCTGAAATTTGGGTGAAAGATTATTTTATTTTGAAGGAAACCTGGAAACCTGATAGTGAAGCCAGTGGACATGTGTGTTTCGGAGTGATTCTCTGCACTGAGTAATCCTTTGCTGTTAAATGTTAACAACCTGTAT